TTTAGTAGAGACAGAGTTTCTCCATGTTGGCCAGGCTGGTCTCAGACTCCTGACCTCATGTGATCCACCCACCTCAGCCTCCCAAAATGCTGGGATTATAGGCATGAACTATTGCACCAAGCCTAATCTTACCCAGTTTATAAAGGGTTACCTCTTTCACTGTTGTTACAGGCCATGACATTTAAGATACACAATATACTTTGACAGAAGCTGATATAAATAGCAGACAAAGTTTACTGCCGAAAATCAGTGGCCTCGTTGGATAAGGTTATTTATCCAGGTATCTCTGATTCTCCTAAGAAACTAGGAAGGGCCATGAAAAACAAGGTTAAGAGCAAAGAAAACAACTGCTGATTGCTTTTTTTTTTTTTTTTTTTGTGCATAATTAGGTTTGGAGTAAATGCTTGCACTGTGCTAATACTAAGCACAACTACAGAGAGAAATAGGCCCTAAGAATCTGTTGCTTGCAATTATTTCTGAATTTTCAATTTAGAGTTTGAAAATAAGTTGTTTTCTTTGTCATCTGATTCTCTTTTTTTCTCTTAGATATTCAATCTAAAAGCAGCAAGGCCGTGGTGCATGGCATCCTGATGGGCGTCCCAGTTCCCTTTCCCATTCCTGAGTCTGATGGCTGTAAGAGTGGCATTAACTGCCCCATCCAAAAAGACAAGACCTATAGCTACCTGAATAAACTACCAGTGAAAAGTGAATATCCCTCTGTAAGTGATACCATTGTTAAGCACACGAGAGGGCTTGGGACTGGATTAGAGATCAGAGGGCAGCGGGCAAGAAGCAGAGACAGGGTAAAGGGCCCCTTATCTCTATGATAAAGAACCAGAAGCCTGAGGGACAGGAAATAGCTGGGGCGTTAGGTGTCAGGAGGTAGGGCAGATGTTTTTCTCTGTGTCTCTTCATTCTTTCACTATGACCTGATGGTTAGCCTGGGCATAATGAGGCCATTTTTTTTTTGAAAATGTACTAAAATTTAATCATCCATAAAAGCTGTAATTTAATGTCATTAAAACACAAGAAGCAATATTAGAGTTGGTTTAGTATATTGCATATTTTAGCTTTGAAAGCCATAAAACTGTTATCCCAGCTTTTTTTTTTCCTATAAAAGACCCCATTTCTCCAAAGCATTATGCACAAACAATTTTAATTAGAGTATAATGACAGATAATATTCCATAATTTTTTTTTTGTTTGAAACAGAGTCTCACTCTGTATCCCAGGCTGGAGTGCAGTGGCGAAATCTTGGCTCACTGCAGTCTCTGCCTCTCCAGTTCTGGTTTAAGCAGTTCTCCTGCCTCAGCCTCTGGAGTAGCTGGGATTACAGGCACATGCCACCATACCCAGCTAATTTTTGTATTTTTAGTAGAGTCGGGGTTTCACCATGTTGGCCAGGCTGGTCTTGAACTCCTGACCTCGTGATTTGCCCGCCTCAGCCTCACAAAGTGCTGAGATTATAGGTGTGAACCACTGCACGTGGCTGATATTCCATAATTTTTTTAATATAAAATGAAGCCAATGACCAAAAAAAGTTATCTGCTGCAATGAGTTTGAGGGGACATCCTAATCAATATCATTACAGATATAAAGTATAATTGTTCAACATTTTCGTGCTTGATAGGGAGGAATCATGATAAAAACGTCAATATGAAATCATCTGACTATAGTAGCAAATATCTAACATTTGAAATGCATCCATGCTCTTTTGCATAATCATATTAGAGCCAAGTATATTTTCATATCTATTATGTCTCATTTTCCAAGAGATGTACACAGAGCAATTTTTTTTCTCCAGGGAACTTGTGCAGGGAACCAATATAAGATCTAAATTTTTCCCATAATATATAAAATAGGAGAAGCCTCTTCAGATGTATTTTTTGAAGTCTGGAGTGCTGGCATTTTCCAGTTAGGCAATAGTTCTCCATTCCTGCAACCTGGCTGAGAGCTGCTGCTGACTATGGTCCTAGAGCAGCAGGCGTGTTTTCTTTTTAGGCTTCTTCTTTTCCATTGGTGTTTTCCTATTTATCTGTCTGACTAGGTCATAAAATATCTCATTAACATTGATCTTTGACTTTGCAGAAGATCCTAAAATGGCACAGTTACACCACCATCTTGCTAAATTCTGACTCTGTTCTTTGCCAACTACTCGCTCATCTTCCAGGTCACATTTATCACCAACAAAAATCACTGGAACATCTTCTGTGTCCCTAACCAGTAAAATCTGTTCCCTGTAAGTCATTAAATGTGGACTGAGCTGTAATAGAATATGATACTGCAAAACCTTGGGCATTCTTCATATACAAATCCCTCATCACCATGAATTGCTCTGTCCCTGCAGTATCTAGGATTTTAAGCATACACTGTTGGCAGTCGACTTCAACTTGCTTTCTGTAGGGATCTTCTATCGTTGGGTCATATTTTTCAACAAAAATTCCCTGAACAAACTCAACCGTCAGAGCAGACTTCCCAGTGCCTCCTGAACCAAGGACCACTACCTTGTACTCATGCATGATGTGGTCTGTTTAAATAATGACGATCCCCCAGTCTGGGTGCTGCCACCTCCTCCTCCTCTCCCACTCCCACTTACCCCCACCCCCTCCCCATTCTTCCTCCCCCTCATCCTTCCCCTTCTCCTCCTCCCCATGCTCCTCCCCCTGCTCTCAGCTGTGGCTCCTGCTCCAGCTCTACAGTAAGAGCTGATGCCATTTTTATATACCATATTTCATTTGGTTCTCATGACCATCCTATATAGAGATTATTTTATCTCTATTTTACAGCTGAAGAAATTGGTGCCTCTGAGGTTATGCAATATGAACGGAGTCCACTCCACAAAGAAGTAGTACAGCCCAGGTTTTGAGCTGGGTCTTATAACTCCAAAGCTTGTGCAATGTTAAAAGATTTTAGCCAGGTACCAAATAGTTAAAGATCCAAGTTATCTTAACATTGTCATTAGAAAATCCTGGTTTCTCCATTAATCTCTTAACAAAACAATAGGACAGTAGTTTGGTAGCTCCATGGCAGAGAGGTAGCTTTTTCCACCCTCCTTTCTCCCCTCCAATCCCCACCTTCACTTCCGACCCCCCCCTGCTGTACCTACCTCTTTTTCTACCAAGCACTTGTAAGGTAGATCCTGCTGGAGTGGACCTGTATTAAAGATATGAATTTTGGTAAGAATAGAGGAAATAAAGCCTTTTTCCGTGAAGAAAAAGAGCCACATTTCTTGAAAGGAAATCAAATAGAAGTTAGGAGCAATATCTGGCCATTTATTTTTTTGGAAAGGTAAGTAATTAAAGGACATTCTAAAGAGCCTCAAATATAGGGTGCCTCTGCTGAAGGGATGTTGGAGGTCTTAGAGGTGAGGTACAGATTTATAGATGAATTTGCAGAGTATCCATATAACCATGGGCAAGTTTGAACCTCAGTTACCTATGCAGTGACTAGTCAGAGCCTGATATGTAGTAGATACTTAATATATGGTAATTATTGTCTGTTAAATGAACTACATTTAATCTGAAAAACAGTTCAAACTCTTGAAGCACTAAATGAAGCAGCAGTTAATATACACTAGTCTGGAAAAACTCACAAAGCAAATTTCAAGAACCTGAGTATCATTGCCACTCAAATGTTCCATTGTGAAGAAATGTTTACAGTATAAAAGAGAAGTAGTAACTAGTGACAAGTAAGCTAATGTCCACATAAGAAAGGACCTGCAGAGTGTCAGTGAGTTATTAAGAATTGGAAGGGACGGGATGGCTCACATGGTATGAGTGTAACAAGTCAAGGCAGGAATTTCTGATGGGGTACATTATTAGAAAGCAGTTTAAGGGCGTTAACTGAAAGTATATTGCTACAAAAGTTTGTCATCCTTAAAACGATTCATACAGCTACAGACTTCTCTGAGCGATCCTTTGTGCTTTGACATTCCCATTTCTAGCTAACGAGAAAGTTTCCTTATACCTAAGAATCTAATTTTTTTTTACTCTCTGCTCTTCATGGTTACATTGGGGAAAAGCTGGATCAGATTGCAAAATACATGAGAAATTGCTTTAATGCAAAATTATTCATGTAAGCCTTCATGTGTTAGTGCATTTGCATTGCTATCAAGGAATACCTAAGACTGGGTAACTTATAAAGAAAAGAGGTTTGATCAGCTTACGGTTCTGCAAGCTATACATGAAGCATAGTGCCAGCACCTGCTTCTGGTGAGGCCTCAGGAAGCTTGCTGTTATGACAGAAGGCAAAGGGGGGCCAGCATGTTGCATGGCCAGCACTGGAGCAAAAAAGAAAAGAGGGAGGTCCCAGATTCTTTTAAACAGCCAGATCTCACATGAACTAAGTGAGAACTCACTCATCACCAAAGGGATGGTGCTAAGCCATTCATGAGGGATTCGCCTCCATGATCCAATACCTCCCACTAGGCCCACCTCCAACATTGGAGGTCACATTTCTTTTTTTTTTTTTTTTGAGACAGGGTCTCACTCTTGTTACCCAGGCTGCAGTGCAATGGCGCGATCTCGGCTCACCGCAACCTCCGTCTCCTGGGTTCAGGCAATTCTCCTGCCTCAGCCTCCTGAGTAGCTGGGATTACAGGCATGTGCCACCATGCTCAGCTAATTTTTTTTTTGTATTTTTAGTAGAGACGGGGTTTCACCATGTTGACCAGGATGGTCTCGATCTCTTGACCTCGTGATCCACCCGCCTCGGCCTCCCAAAGTGCTGGGATTATAGGCTTGAGCCACCGCGCCCGGCCGGAGGTCACATTTCAACATGAAATTTCAAAGGGACAAATATCTAAACCATACCACTTCATTTATGTGCCATTGATCTAAGAAAAGAATGCTTTAGAAATTACATTTGGTAAATTAACCAAGTTAGTATATGGTACTGCTAGCATCAAATCGTAAGTATAATTTCATTACAGTCTTTTAAGGCTGTAGGCTGTGCCTACATGCTAAGCAGCCTTCATGATTTAAGAAAAAAAAGTATGAGGAGTTAGGAAGTTTGCTACTACATCTAGGATTCATAGTTAAGCCAATTATGGATAGAAGTCAAGTCCTATTTTCATTTTTCTCAATTATTTTTCTCCTTCTCCAGATAAAACTGGTGGTGGAGTGGCAACTTCAGGATGATAGAAACCAAAGTCTTTTCTGCTGGGAAATCCCAGTACAGATCGTATGTCTCTCTGGGGTTGAGAGGGCATGGGTGGAGGGAGGAAAGAATTGGAGGATAAATCACACCTGAAACTAAATCAGTGCTGTAAGATAAAAGGAATTTCAAGACTGCTGTTTTATGCCTCTCAGCCTGTAAAAGCATCAAAGACCCTATTTCCTGAGAGCTAAGAACTGTTGCCTTTGTAATATCCTTTGTAAAAAAGGTTGAGGGAAAGAAGAGAGAGTGGGACTATAGGGATTGATTTAACTGTCTTCATTGGTTTTTGCTGTTGGAATAAGGAAAGTCATCCAGACAGGACCTGAAGGAGGTTGCTTAGGGATGTCCGATAACTTGCCCTTGGGTTATTGCCCTCACAATGGAGGAAAGGTTCCAAAACGCTTCCATTGAGCTGGAACATTACATCCACAGGTTACTCATCAAGTGCCTCATTGAGTTCAGTGCATCTGGCCAACGAGTCTCCTGACTCTTGACAGCACCTCCAGCTCTGCTGCTTCAACAACAGTGACTTGCTCTCCAATGGTATCCAGTGATTCGTTGAAGAGGAGGTGCTCTGTGGGAGAAACTAAGCTCTGGATGGCTGGTTGTCAGTGGCTGTCTTATGTTTCTTTTTCTATCTTAGGTGGTTTTCCTTAAATGCAGCACTTGGTTAACAGATGTTTAATTTTTTTTTTTTTAACATATGTCCTCTTTCTACACCTGGAAGTGTACCCTTGAATAAATAAAAACTCATTTGTCTTGTTTTCTGCATGTGGGCTGTGGTCTTCTGCTCTTTCAGAGTACGTTCTGCTAGAACCATGGAAGTCAGTCTCCCAGTCACGTGGTCCCAGAGTGCACTGAAGACGTGACTTTTTCAGAAAGTTTTTTTTCTCCTTTTTGCCCAGTAAGACCATATCTATTTTATATGAAATGGCCTTGTTTTGCTTTATTTTACAGTCTTATGCCACCAAGTGCTTGAAAGAAGCAGTGAAAGTAAACATCACCTGGTTGAATAATAGTGCCTGAAAGGTTGAAGGAACTGAATTTGGTGGGGAGGGCAGGTAGGACAGTAGTGGGGTTAGGGATTACAGGTTAGGATGAGGCATGGTGATCTTTTGGGAACCCTCTGCCATGAAGAAAGCCTAGGAGCTTAAAGATGAAATATGAAGTTGTAGCAAGTAGTGGCTACATTAATTAAAACTTGGAGTTCCCTGTCCTTAAAGTACAAGTATAATCATGGGTATATCTTTTTCCATCTATTTTGAATCAGTATACTAGCAGTCAGGTCTTAGATGGCCAGGGATTACAACCCCGTTTGCAATTGAGTTGAATAACTTGGATCTTAGGTCATCTATTACTAGGTCAGGGCAAAAGGAAGGAACATTCATACAAAGTGCTTCTGAGCAAATAATTGATATGATCCAGTTATTTTTATCCCACTAATTTCACTAGACCCTTGTATTTCTTTGGCCTGTGAGTTTCCCAGGAAAACCACCAGGGGACAGTGATGGATCAGGAATAAAGTTATCAACCGCCAAGCTTTCCTAGTTCATGCCAGGAGCCAGTCAACCACTGTACGATCTTGTGTATCCTGTCACACTGAGTCTAGAGAAACAGTCCACCCATACTGGACTCTAGGTGATTCAGAATTGTGTGAATTCCTGGGCTGTTAACTGTTGTACAGCCTCTGGCTTTGGACTGCCTGTGGTTGAGTCCTCGTGCCACCAATTAACAGGACTACCAGTGTGATCTTGAAATCACTTCATCTCTCTGTGTGTCAGTTTCCTTACCTGTTAAAAAGGACTACTAATAATAGGGCTGTGAAGACTAAATGAGATGAAGCATGTAACACACTTAGAATGACCCTGGCATATAGTATATACTCTAAATGTTAGCTGTCACTCTAGGACACAGACATTGTTCTTTGTCTAGAAATAGCAGGAAAATCAGAAGGTTCAATCTGAGATGTGATGATGTCTCCTCAGAAGGACGAGGCTATCCTCTGTCCACAGGAACTTTCTGAGAGGCCTAGAAAAGCTCAATTATCATGTGTCCACCGTCTCCCTATTCCCAGAAGATTTCTCATGCCATGTAGCTCCTTTGAAGTTAACAGCTACCTGCCCTGTCTGTATACTCCTCTGCCCTCGTGTTAAAAGAAGACAGGACCCACACTACCGTGCAAAATGAGTACTTGCCTGTAGCTAGGAACAGTGCCTACTTCAGGGAAAATTAATTTGATACAACTGACTAGTTGAGTGTTAAACTACTTTGGAAATACTTCACATATCTAAGTCATAGAAAAATCTAAAATTATATTTTTCTTTCCTCCACTTATTCTTCAAATATAAAACTATGTTTTAATACCATATGTCTTTCATTATTTATACCATGCATTCTTTGTGAAAATTTGTTCTTGGGGACAAAATCTTATTCTTTTTATGTGTAAAGCAGGAGTAGACATAATGCATAAACAGATACATATATATGTGGTATTAAAATTTGATGGGGTTGTTGATTAGGATTAAAAGGTCTACAAAAGCTCCTTTAAGGAGTGATAATGAAAAGGGTGGGGAAGCACTAAAGACAAAGAGTATACGTAGATGTTTCGGAAATCGAAATTAAAAAGCATTTCAGCTAGCATATATCCTTCTGTCAGAGCAAAAGGGGAAGACAACAGCTTGTGACTGTTTGCCAGCCATCTCGAGGCTACATGGAGCCTGCAGCCGTGAGCTAGGTAGGGCTCCCTCGGGGGGATTAAGTTTGAAAGGTCGTCTTCTGCAGACAGTTCACAGACGCCCCCCTGAGTCACTAAAACATTGAGAAGCACTGAATCTTAGGTATATCAAAAAGGTCATCCTCTTTCCAATGACAGTCTCATGCTTTTCTAGTCCACGGAGCAGGCCTTGGAGGCTCAGACCCAGCTCTCACATGAGTTCCAGGACAAATAAATCCCAGACTTCAATTGTTAAAATAATGAGGGGGCACCCCTGCTTATAGAATAAAGGGAACCCAACACTTCCTATCTGCAGTTCAGTTAAATGTGAAGACTGGTATGCAGTCAAATCTTCATACTAATAAAAAGCAACCAGCACGGAGTAATTTTAAATCCTGCATGTTTAGTTTTAAAATCTTAGTTGACTTTTCTTTAAAATGAATAGGATGTTTTTTGTTTTTAACACAAAATCTTTCAGGAAAGAAACAGAGTGATCTTGATTATGCTTTGGAAAGGCTGATAAGAACAGCTTGTTCTCTGAGAACACCCTCCAGACATAGGAAGGGTGACTTGAAATAGGTGAGGTCAACTAAGAGAAGATGACCTAGGATGAGCCATTCACTTCAGATACTGCAAAAAGCAAGGGTTAAATGACTGGGTCGGTACAAGGACAGGGTCACAGTACATAGGGAAAGCATTAACACAGAAAAAGGAGTTATGTGTAAGAAAGTCCCCAAAGTGAGAGACACATTAAACAAGTGTTTTTCCCAAGGAAGAGACAGAACAGGAAATAGAGGTTGGGGTACGCCTTATTTAAAGGCCTGGGACAGTCAGTTGAGGGTGTGTGTGTGTGTGTGTGTGTGTTGGGAATGGGGTCGTGGGGGAGACAGGCTTGTGTGACCCAAGGTAGAAAGTGGCTCTGGATCTCCACAGATGTTGCCTGAAAGTCTTTAAAGGATTTGAGTCATTTTGGGTGGTTGTGTCTTTTTCTGAAGAGAATCCCTCAGCCTATCCCTAGATTCTAAGCTGAATGAGATTCACTTACAGCTGTCAGTTGACTAGCAACTAAATGGTCTGGGTGTTGGTTGCCATGGAAACAGCTAAAAGGCCCATTGCTATGGGAACCTACCAGGCCCTCTAAACCAGGGGTTTGGTTCCTAAAAAAGGATGGAGGGGAAGGTGGAGCCCAGGATATGGCCTGAATAGGTGGCTTGAGGGTCCTGGAAGAGGGTGGGCAATGTGGGTGAGTGGGTCTGGCCAGCTCCTCACAACGGGGGCAGAAGAACAGTGACCTCTTCTACTTTCTGCAGGCGTTCCCCTGCCTGTTCTCTGCTCACTACCCAATGCTAGCCACAGAGCACAGGTGTTTGCAGTTCCAAATGGAGAATAAGGACCTAAGATTCTGGAGCAGACCTGACATGTCAGTGCTGCTCGCCTCACCTGTAGGGGGTCGGAGAAGGGAAGACTTGGCTCCCTTCTGGCAGGCCCTCCTCCACAAATCATACGTCCCAGATAAGCAGCCAGCAGGCAGAAAGATCAGCTTAGCTCTGACTGCCAGTGGGTAAGGCCAAGAAGGAGCCTGGCAGACAAATGGATGGCTGCTGGCCTTGAACATGGCAGAGCCACTGGGTGTGCCAGATCAAAAAGCAGAGAGCAGGCCAGCAGCAGCAGACTCTCTTCTCAGCACTGGAGAAATGCATTGCTCTGCCCGCTACACCCTCAACCATCCATAGGCCTCTGCCACAAAAGGGGATACTGCAAATGGATCAACATAGGAAAGATGAGATTCCATAAATACTCAGTGTACACACAAAATGGTTGTAAGATTCTTTTCTGTTTTGCAATCAAAGTAACTTTCACATTAGTGTTTGGTGGGAAGATGATTTTTTACTAAAACAAGAGAAAACATCCTAGGAGCTCTTCCATCCACTGTTAATGTGTAATGTACAAATGGAAGGGATTGGACTAATCACTAAAGCCTCTCTAGGACTAACAGCTTATGATGCATTGAGACACTGAAGGGAAGTTGAAGAACCACTGGCAAATGGACACAGACTAATCGCTTTCTAGTTACACATAACTGTGAGGGCGGGGAAAATCTCTGAACTCCAGAGGGGCTTAGGATGGAGATGAAGTCCAAGACATTTGATTTAGAGACCATTTCAGATATGTTTGGCCCAGGGGACTTCCACTTGGTTCTCCAGAATTCTGAGATATGTGATGCTGATTTTTTTTTAATCCTAATCTTGCCTTTTTCCTGCTTGGAATCCTTAGTCTCAGCCCCTTCCAGGAGCTTCAGAGTCTAAGAGCCTGGCATCAGAGAAAAAAGAGGGGGAGAGAGAGAGAGAGAGAGAGAGAGAGAGATGCCACCAGAACTTGGATTGTTCAACAGGACAATAGAGTATTTCCCCAGAATCTGTGGGGAGGTTTTCACTTTTGGAAGCAGTAATTGTTTATAGATTTCTACAACATTTAAATTTTTAAATACAAGCTGGGTTTATATCTCATCTCCAACTTTTTCCAGCTGCTTGACTTTGGATGCGTTTCTTAACCTCTTAAGGCCTTAATTTCCTCAGCTGTAAAATAGGATGATAAGAATATATCCACCTCGGGTGGTTCTAATGATGACATGAGGTGGGGGATGCTCAGTGCTCAGTGCAGTGCCTGATGCATAATAAGCACCTGAGAAAGGTCGTTAGTATTATTATTATCATCCTAGATAAAAAAGGAAGGTTGCAGCCATGGAAACCGTGCAGTGGCCTAGAATCATAGGCATTTGCCACGCATTTGTCTTCCAAATTTAATTCCAGGTGCGTTTTAAGACTGATGGCCTCTCTGATGCCACAGTCTTGTTTCCCTTCATTAAGCCAGATTCTAACCCTCTCTTTTGAAGACACTTAACCACTTTCGTTTTCATGTATGATTTTTTACCTTCCTACTAGACTGTAAACATCTTGAGAATAGAGACTGCCCCTTCGTCTTTCAATAAATGCCTAGAACTCAGCAATAGTTCAATGAATTTTTTTTTATAGGGAAAAATGTCATTTTTCTGTAGGTT